TGTGCTGGCTGTTCTAATTTGCCTTGTGGCTTAGAGGCAAGAAAATGTTGTCACCTTCCCTAGAGCAGAGGAGTAGGATGTGTGTCACAGTGAGGAGAGGGGTGATTTGTTATGGCCATTTCAGAATATAGGGCTAAAAGTTGATTCTGCCCCACCACACCTGTTGGCCTTTATGGAGGTTGTTGGAATCTTTCTGGGTGCCCAAGTGTAATATGTGAGAGACCCTGTTCAATTCTCCTCTAACTTATATTCATTTTATTTATTATTGTTTGGTGTGAGCTTCAATGAATCCCTTTGTATTCTTGTACTGTGCCCATTGTGAGAGCCAGTGTGGCATAGTGGTTTAAGTGCTGGCCTACAACTTTGGAGACCAGGGTTCAATTCCCCGCTCAGCCATGAAACCCACTGGGTGACCCTGGGCAAGTCACATTCTCTCATGCTCAGGGGAAGGCAATGGCAAACCCTCTATGAACAAATCTGAACTCTAGTCTCCAGAGTTGTAGTTCAGTGCTTAAACCACTACACTACACACCACTACCTGGAATTTTGCAGCAGCGATGTCAGAGATTGAATTTGGGACCCTTGGCTCCTGCATACAAAACATGTGCTCTACCACTGATCTTTTCACACTATGTTTAACATTATGAGTGGAGAGACAGAGATTGTAGTGATTTTGCTCTTCCGAAAAAATAGCCTGGACATGCTCAAAAGGACTCAAAATATTTTTAATAAGAATTCTCCCCCTTTGATTCATTCCCTAATCTTTGTAGTCAGTCACCTATTACTGCAATCATGGTAGTATCCTCCACATTAAATTGACAAATCATTCTGTGCTAAACTTTAACAACATGTTTGAGAGAGTAGTGAAGAGTATATTGGGGTGAGGAGGTGGGGGGTTTGAGATAACATGTTTTAGGTCAACCTTTCCCAATTTGAGAGTTTCCAGTCATGTTAAACTCCCACGATCATATCATGGGCTTTGCAATCCATCTGTAGACAAATGTCTGGTTTAGAGATGGTAACTTTACCAAAAAAAAAAACCCAAACAAAAATAAGCACTTTTGAAGGAGGCAATTTAAAAAATGTAACCATATGGGGAGTGGCATCATGTGGTACAGTAACTTGACAAATTAATTTTCAGAACTAACATTCCAAGCTTTGGATCTGATAGTCAGACCTTCTTGATATTCTCAACATTCAGAATGACATCCGATGGAGTCAGGTTCTTAGCAATGTTGGCTGCCCCCCACAAAAGAAATGCAACCGTTTTGGATTTTAAAAAATATAATATTTAAAACAAAACAAAAACCCTCTGATAAATACCCAGATCAAATATCTTTCCCTATATCCTTTTGGCTGTATTGAAGAGAAAAATATTCATAGCCAAGTTTAGAAAACTGTACAGAGCTTGGACATTTTACATTTTTTGGACTACAATTCCCACAATCTCCTAGCAGGCATGGCCAATATTCATGCTGGCTGGGAAATTCTAGGAGCTATAGTCCAGAAAATGAATATTTCCAAGCTCTAGATCTGGAACCGCTACAATTTCATCCTTCCAATTTCAAACCTCATATACATCCAACATACTTGCTGCAGATTGTATGCACCAATAAATACAGGCTATGGAGAAAAAGAACTGCCAGACTTTGTACCTGCATTAATATTATTTGATGCATGTGGTGCCAGAAATGCTAGTAAATTATGTCAATTATATATCTTTGGCTATCCTGGCCAGGTATGCTTTTATGAAAGCAAGCTTGGATTGTCCTGCTTTCTCCCCAAAGTCTATAAAGCTGTGTAGAGCCAATTAAAATCCACCAAGCCATGCAAACTCCAAAGGTTTCTTAAGATGAAGTAGGGATCTTTCAAAATGTTTCAGTAGGGGCTCATTCCCACTTGCATTTAAACCGATTTGCGAGTTGCATTAATACTGTGTTGCTGAATCGATTTAGGCTGATGCGTAGTTCCCACTATGGAAGTGAATTATTTCATTATTCTGAGGATTCATGTCTTTTTTGACATGCTTGTCGTACACACTAGCTACAAAATGCATACTCAGTATTGAATGTGGTCGATCCATCCCAGTCTCTCTCTCTTTTTTTTTTTAATGTCAGTCATATGATGTGCATCTGGACATCACTGGTGACTCAACTATGTGTTTTTCCAGCGACAATGCAATACAACAGAGTGCATATACTGTCAATTTTTGTTTAAAAATAAAAATAAAAAAGAACATATAAAAGCTCAAAGCAAAAGAAGAAGAGGATGGGTCCTGGGGGAAAGGAGGATTTGTCTACCCCCCACCCCACCGCTATGGCTCCTGTCACTCAGCCTTTCCACTGGCCTCCCTCTCCTTCCAGTCAAGGGCCAGACAGGCAAGAAAAAAGGCTTACAATTCAAAGGAACTGTATTTTGTCCTTGCCGCTGTCGCCCATCTCAGCTATGGCTTGCCTGCTCTTGCCTCCCAGGCACCACTCGTTGCTCCTCCTGGGGCTGCTGCCTTTGGGAGTCCAGCTGGCAGATGGAAAAGGGTCACTGCCAGGAGGGAGAAGGAGGGAAAGGGAAGGAGGTGGAATATGGAGGAGGAGGAGGAAGAAGAAGAGGCTGCAACTGCAAGGGATGCTCCCCCACCGAGAGCTCTTCTAGGGGAAGGAAAGTGGGAGCCTCCAGGAGCCACTCGCTCCTTCTCTGGACCAAATTAGCATCTGCTCAGCCCAGTTCCCTTCCTACAAGCATGGTGGGGGGGGATATTCAGGCAGAAACACAAAAACAAAGATCAGGACCAGTGTAATTTAAAAGGGACCACTTGCAGCTTTGAAAAGCAAAATACACGGAGGCAGCGCTGGGGCGGAGGGAATGGCGGATTTCTCAAAACCAGGGGCTGGATGGGTAATGCCCCTCTGGCAACCCTCCGCCATAGTCCCTCCCCCCCAGTGCAGTGCAATTGAGACCTGACTATCATTCACACTTGCTGAACACGCTTAGAAATCGGTTCTTTTCAGAAGAACCACCAAAAAATCCGTCTTCGAAAAGAGCAATTTTTTTTAATTTTGTTTATTTTTTGCATTTACCTAACTCCACTGCAATTCAGACCGAATGCAGTCAGGTCTGAAACCATTTCCAGTGTGAACAAGACACATATAAAGCAATCAGCCAATCGATTTAAATCATAGTGGGAATGAGCCCTATATAAAACATCTTGCTTCGAGACTCTGTGACACTTTTCCATGTAATATTCCAAGCATCAATCCAAACTGAAAGAGAGTCCCATTTGACGTTTGTTGCTTTTATGATGCCCACAAGCACCTGCAGATGTGATCTCACATAATGAAGCATGTGGCCCTAAGCCGATTTGCAAACAGCAGGATCTCCTGGCAGTAGAAATTGTGCTTGCTGTGTTATGAAGGCTACCCCCTCCTCTAAAACCATGTTTGGTTAACACCTATGGCATGTTGCAATTGGCACCATACATTTTCCTTGGGACTGATGCCAAACAAACAGATGGAAATTAATTGAGCCATGCCAGAAAACAAGAATGTTCATCAAATTTGAACATTAGGAAGATGTTTCCTTCCAGGAATGTAAAAATGGCAAGCAGCATAGAGAACTTTAAAATAAATCTTGGGTTAAGAGAGTGTGTCATCCCCCTGAATGTGAAAACTGAATTGCTAGTTGTGATTCAATAGAATAGCTTAATGATATCACATCAAGGACAGATGAAAAATGGATATGGATTAAATTTCTTGGTAGTTTCTACCTCCACGTTGTTTAACAAAAGCAGCAATAAGCTGGTAACATCCCACCCTAAATTAATGTTCTAATTGTTTTAATTTTGTATTTTAATGGTGCACTTACATTTGAGCCTTTCAGAGAACTTCTGTAATGAGGCGACCATATATTATAATATATTGATTATTTTATTTATTGAATTTTTATCCTGTCTTTCTCTCAAGATGGGATTCAAAGTGACTTACAGTGGTCCAAAATAATAATAATCCAGTTTGAGACTACTTTAACTGCCCTGGCTCAGTGCTAGGAAATCCTGGAAATTGTAGTTTATTGTGGCACAAGAGTTCTCTGACAGAGAAAGCTAAATGTCTCACAAAACTACAGTTCCCAGAATTTCCTACTGCTGAGCCAGGGCAGTTAAAGTAGTCTCAAACTGGATTATTTCTGCAGTGTGATTTGGACCAGATTTAAAAAAAAAAAAAAAGATTAAGCTAAAGCATTACTTTACAAAAGAATTAAGTAATATTATTTTATTTATGTAAATTACAAAATAATTAAATATTATTTTAAACCATTATTAAAAAAACACTTAAAACATATTTAAAACATAATTTCCAGTAACAGATTAAAAATGCAGCACGCATACAAACTACAGCTCCATAACTAAAATTCAAAAGTCCCCCTGAATAACAATGTCTTAACCTGCTGATGGGAAGACTGCAGAGAGAGGACCAACCAGACCTCTCATGGAATGGAGTTCCACAGCCTCAAAGCATCCATGGAGAGAAGGCTTTCTACCAAGTCCTCACCAAACATGCCTGTGAATGTGGTGGGACTGAGAGAAAGCCACCAATGTTGTATTATATCATATTGTATCGTATCATATTGTATCGTATTATATTGTGTGTTGCATTTCTACCCCATTTTCACCAGAAAGAACAGTTGACAAGGCCCCTAACAGTCATAAAATCACATAAAACAAATTACGTCAAAAGACACAACAGAATAAAAATAAAATTAAAATCATTTCAATAAAAAGTGCACCAACTACCTGGTTTAAAGCTGTCTTCCCACTATCCAAGCTTAATTGCCAAAGGCATGCCTAAATATAGTGATTGATGTATATATAGATGGATGGAGATAGAAAATGAGAGAGAACATACTGTATATTCATGTATAAGTCTAGAAATTTTAGTCCAAAAATTGCCCCAACAAACCTGGATTAACTTATCCACAGGTCAATGTTAGTAATGTACTTTAAAAAGGAAACATTGTTGGAGTAATTGTGCCTTTACTATAAGAAAAAATATTTTGAGTGACAGGTGGCATGGAATGACATATATTTCATGGGACAACCACAGATTGGGGAGTCAGGAGCACATGGCATGAGGGAAAGTTATAGCAAGGTTGCATGATGCTGAAAATAATGACTCAGAACCACCCTACTACATAAGTGGACCAAGAAATTTGTCAGTGTGAGTTAGCTTGGTTAGTTGAGTTAGGGCCTTTGCAGACTGCCAGAAATAGTGCAAATTTAGTCCACTTTAACTGTCCTGGCTCAGTGCTAGGGGATCATGGGACTTGTATTTTTTTCTGAGACATTGAGCCTTCTCTGTCAGAGAGCTCTGGTACCACAATAAACTATAGTTCCCATGATTCCTTAC